CTGGTCTAGCGGAAGGTGTCCCTGCCCATGGCAGGGGGTTGAAACTAGGTGATCTTTAAGGTCCCTTCCAACCCAAATGATTCTATGAAATACAAGTTTAATAAAAGCCAGAATGTTATATATAAATAACAAAACAGATACAACAAACTCCAAAAGTCTGAGACTGCTTTAAAAACAACAGATAGCAGTCAATACTTTAGAATATTCCACATTGCTATTCCACTTTCAATCTGCCAGAAAACCTGGTCTTTAAACTGGAGGAAAACAGCAGACATTTCTATTAATACTTCTGATTTTCCATGAAGTCACAGGTCAATACTTCCTTTCAACTTGAATTTTTTTGCAGATCTCTCACTTGCTCTAAGCTGGAACTTGCTTCCATAGATGTAGGAAATGAATCCATCAATCTCCACACTAAATACGCTGTTAAGTTTAGGGACAACTGAAAATGTAAAAGGAAAGAAATTAACAAAAGTGGACTAATGCGAGTCCCCATTATGAAAATACGCTGATGCACCAGGGGATACTACTCACACATAGACTTGATGTTTGCCACATTTCAAGTGTTCTTGCTTTAGTAAGAGAATAAAAGTAACTAAACCCTCTAAATTTTAAACTGGAATTACTAAAGTTAGTCCTCTTTCAGGAGCATGCAGTAAATGTTGCAGAGAACATCTGATGTGATCAGGTGAATGAGCCATGCGCATAATCATGCTAGGTTCCTTGGAAATGTTGTTTGTTTTTTTTTTTTAATTGCTCATTTCTAATGAGATACTTTTTTGGTAAGATACTGAGCCGTTACATGATCAGTAAAGATGTTAACTTCTGCCCCTCTATGTAAAGAGCTAAAAGCACTGATAGAAAACAATATACTCTGAGGTATAAAATAGTGTGTTTAAGAAATTTCTGATTTTTCAGGTTGTGAAAAGCGCTCAAAAAAATGTCTTATATACCTTTTAATTTGTCCTCTTTAGTAATAATTTTGAAGACATGTTTAAATTCCTGTAGAATTATTCCTGTTATCCCAACGTAGGAGGGGCACTTTGATTTTGTGACTGAAAGAACAGAAGTATGTATGTATTAGAAAATTTCATATGCCGGCAGTTTATTTGCTCTTCTACAGTTGCCTCATGATTTTAAAATCTGGTCTGTAACATTCTGAAATAATGCAATTACAGTAATCACTGTAAAAACTCACAGTCAATCTTTGCAACTAATAACATGGTTTTCAAGAGCAGTTGAGAAGTAATTAGCATTAGTAAGTAGAGAAAGAATCCATCAACATATGATCTCAACTATGTGATTCTAGAGTTAATGACACTGAAAAGAATTTAAAAAGCACCTGAAATATAGCAGTGTCTACTTAACTTCAGATGATTTTGTAAAAGAAAGCAAACAGAATACCTGTAACAATAGCTCCATGGAGATCAGCTTTCAGCAGTTTGCTCTGAACCACATGTGGTTGCCTTGAAGAGGGTGGGATCAGAGAAGAGGGAAAGAAAATTATAGGGAAAGTTAGGTTTACAAAATGTGACCATGACTATTGAAATGGTGGTCAAAGCTTACAGAAATAGTACATACCCTTATCAAGTAACTATGTTTCAAGCAGAACTCAGTAAACCTGGAAATACCTACTAAATCAAACCCACACTAATTCTACAATATCTCAACTTACGCATCTGGTTTAAGCCCATGACACAGGTCTCTGATATACTGCTTCCAGAGTTCATGTAGTGGTAGAAAGATGGCGTATCTGCAGTAAAAAGACAAGAAGTATTACACTTAATTATATATAAAAAAAAATCTATTGGTTGATTACTGAAGTAACCTATATTTACAACAGAGTTAAGACTAGCATTTATAAGTTTTTGTAATCTGCTCTCGTAACTTAAACCTGCGAGGTAACCCACTCCAAACAGGTTTGCTTTACAAAAAAAGCACAGACTAAGTATGCGCCTCTCTAGCAACCCAACCCGGTGATGTGTTTTAGAGGACTGGGCCACATCAAAGACCAAAGAGATTTCTACTCTTTTACTTCCCCACTTCAGGTCAGCAACAGCAGGAGCTTCATTCAACACAGAGCACACACTAGGTCAAGGAACCTGATGCAGAACTTTGACTCTCTGGTCACAGGCAGTCAAGTTTTAAAAACTGACATCAGAGGTGATTGACTGTATTTGGGTTTGATTTCTTGTTATATTCAGCTGTACAAGAGGAAAGAGAACCAGTAACAAACAAATTAATTCTCCAACTATACAGACAAGAGAACTGTTTCCTCTGGGTGACATGCCCCACACACAGGGTCTCAGATTGACTTTACATACTGGAGGGTCAGTAGCCACGTGATCCATGCTGCTGCTTTTACATACTTTTGATGTACTTCCCACTTTTACTACAAAAAGAAAATATTTAAGGTCTTACCTTCGCTGTTCGGGTTCGATTTCAAAAAGACGCATTTCTCGCCTTTGCTTGGCAGTAAAACCTTTTGTTTTCTTCCTCTTTTGCTTTGTCTTTTTTTTTGAATAATGCTCAAGAACTACAGCTTTCCGAGTTAATATATCCTGGATAGCTTCATCTTTCATTTTCGGCATGCTATGCTTCAGGAAGGCATTCACAAACGCTTTGGCCTCTTCTGATCCCTGAGGCTAGAGGTATTTTAAAAGATACTTTAAAAGATTAAATTTTAATTAAGGACTTGCTGCCGACTAGCGGTTTTATCAAGCCGACGCAATCCCCACGGGAACGGGAGGCCCGCACGTAAGGCAGAGCAGATGGAAAGCGCTCCCATGCTGAAGCCTCGTGTGTGCAAGGCCGAGTGCGAGCGTACAGCGGCCTTCGCGTTCTCCCGTCCGTTCCGCCAACGGGTCTGTCCGTGAGGAAACGCCGATGGTCGCGTTTAGGCGGGA